TTAAGTTAATTTTTACTATGTTAGTTTTTAAACTCCATGCAACGCGTGGGCAGTCACTAGTTTTATATATAATGTATATCAACTTCCATCTCATAAACAAGACCGATCCCTTCTTAAACCGGTTGTGTTGTGTTAAACTTCGAAAGAGTTTTGTGTATTCAATAAATTTATCAAAGAATTGTATTTTCAATATTTTCATAATCTCATGTATATCCCTAAGATTGTGAAAGTTTTGTTTTGGTTTTTTTTTTCAACAAGCTTACTTCATTCATTTAATCGATCAAAGTACAAAGGGAGGGAATTAAATATCCTCTAAAATCGGTACAATATAATTGAAAAGCAATAAGACATAGAGCAGATAGATCATCGCAAAAGATGGATAGCGAATCCAAAGCATGCCTCAGATGTGTCATGAGGGTCTTCGCGGAAAAGCCGGAGAGTCTCAGGTTGTTCACTTTCCAATGTGACTTTGAAGATCTTGGCAAAGAGCTCGGGGATTCGACCACTCTCCAAGAGAGGGAAGAAGATACGACCAATCTCAATCAGATGGAAGAAGGTGGAATTGAACTCTTCCACCGGGAGTAAATTTCAGGATTTGATAATTCAGAAAACTTTGATCTACTCTCAACAGAGAAGATATCGAGCTCGTAAATTACATGATTTGAGAATCCAGAAAACTTTGGTCCTCTCATACGTGGAGATATGGATCTAAACGATTGATGATATGAAGCACAGTGAAGGTGAATTGGTTTCTCCAGGCTTGATTTGAAGGACAAAGATTTTGACGAGCTCTGTAACCACTTGACTAATTCGACAAGAAAAGCGGTATCATACATATCCAAGAGTAAGATCGATGGAAAGTATGAATACGGTTCCGGTAACAGTCCTAACAAGGTGTCATCCACATCCAAAATTAAGGTCAATGGAGAGAATGACCACGAATGATAATTAACCCGGGGAGGTTGAAGACAAAACCATCCCGAAGCGGAATCTGAGTTTCGACGAGTCGCATGGACAATTAATTCTTCCGCAGCGTTAGAGTAGGGATGAATAACAACTGCTTTGTGAGATGAGCCTGAAGACATCTTTGAAACGCAAACAAGAGATAATGCTTGGCTACGAAGCTGATAAGTGGTTCGTCGGAGAAACAAGCGTTTCGTCAGCATAGTGAAACTGAGACAGCGACAAAGATTTCAACGGAAAAATAATAAGATGATGACCTTAGCAATCTCAGCGATGGTGGATGCGGAGGAGGAGATCATGGAAACGAAGGAGTTGTGAACTGTGATTGAGAAAGAGGAGCTAGATCCGGTGGATCCGGCGGGTCCAGAGGCTCCGGCGGCTCCGAAGGATAAAGGAGGTTCAACTGCGCATGAGAGACCAACCACCGCCCATGAGAGAGAGTTTTGATCAGGTCAAAGTTTATCTCCGTCGCGGAGAAAGCAAGCTGGAAAGCATATCTCGACCTCATCATCATCGGAAGTTTGGAAAAGAAGGTCTCGTCGGTGAGTCAAAACAAAACAAACGGCGGAACGTGAGAGAAGTTCTTCAGACTAAGCTCTGTTAAGCCCGAGAGAGGAGCTTAGTCCAAAGAACTTAGCCCGTGAAAGTTTTGTTTAATGAGTAAAATCACAGTTGATTTTATTAGAATTACAGAATCATTAAAAATACAATAACAACGGATTTCAGATGGAAGTTTAAAATTCTCATACCAATAACAATGGCTTTTATTTAGAATTAAGAATCCATAAACCAATAACTATGGAATTTCAAAATGTTAAAAATCTTTGAAAATCCATTCCCCAATAACACCCCCTAAAACTTACGAGCTTATAATTTATATTTTTTAAATATGTCTGAAAGCTAATGTTATTTGGATCATCCTAATAAGCTTACATATTCTTAATGGTCTTGTTGTCTGGCAGAAAATTCCAAAAAATCAATCGAAACAATTTCTTTATGAGGATTACATAAATATTGATAGAACAATGTTTCTTTCTTTTATTTGTTTAGCTTCTAATCTCGTTGTCGTGGTGGTCAAAATATTCGCAACTTTGGTTATGCGTAGGCTATCAAAAGAATAATCATTGTTTCACATCAACTTGAATTTATGTTGCTTTACCATATATGATGTAAACTCTGATTGTGTTAATCACATTGATGGTACTGAAAACATTGCATAATATGGAGTCACGCTTTGTCACTTTTTTTCTAGTGCATATCGACTTTAAGTCCTTAAACACGACTTTATCCCCCAGCTCGCTCATTTTCAATTAACTTCCAATGTTAATCGATATACTCTATGGTGGTGCCAAGTTCAAACCATGATTGTTGACTAACTTTGCATCAACTAACAATTGTTCAAACCGTGATTGTTGCGTAAAGTCGCAACAAAAAAAAATCAAATTACTAAAACAATTAATCAATTCACAAAAAGAAAGTACTTGTAACTAACACTTACCAACTCATAACTTCCAAATATAGACATATCTGAGAGCATATATTATTTAGATCTTCCAAATAATCTTTCAGATTTTCAGTGGTCTTGTTGTCTACAAAAAAACTCCACGAGATAAATGACTTACGAACAATATTTCTTTGTTACACTTTTATGACTTATTTTCCTCCTTGTGATGGCGGCCGAAATATTCGCAACTTCGGTTATGTCTAGGCTATCAAGAGAATAGTCATTGTTTTCACATTCTGTGTCATCAGAGATCACATCTACTTAAATAGTTGTTGCTCGACCACTTATGATGTGAACTCTGATTGTGTTAACCACATTGCTAGAGCAGAGAACTTCACATAAGATAGTGTCATGCATTCTGATTTTGTCTCTAGTGCATATCGACTTTAATCTCTTAAGGACGACTGAATCCTCCCAACCTGCTTCTTCAGCAGTTAGTTTCTCATGTTCATCGATATATTCTATGGTGGTTATACAATTTAAATCATAGTTATTGACTAGCTTTGCATTAACTAATTGCATAAAGTTGCAATAAATAGCTAATCAAGCAACTCGTAAAAATAAATTAGACATACAATAAATAGTTATTACAGAGATATGCTTGTTCTTACTACGACCAAAAGAGAAGAGAACTAAGTGTTTGTTGCAGCTGCTTCACCAAATATGATGTGACTTCTTATTGCAGAAATCACATTGCCATCGACGCAGAGAACTTAGCATAAGATGGAGTCATGCTCTGTCACTTTGTTTCTAGTGCATATCGATTTTCATCTCTTAAAGATGACTCGATCCCCCAACCTGCTCGTTTTGTAGTTAGTTTCCCATGTTCATCGATAAATTTTACAACGGTGTCAAATTTCAAACCATGGTTTGTTGAGTAAATTTTCATCAACTAATTGTATAAATATGCAACGAAAGAACAATCAAACTACTAAAACAGTCAATTCATTTATAAAATGAAATTACTTGTAACTAAAACTTACCAGCTCATAATCCTCTATATAATAATTGAGGAGACACTAAGTGGAAAAATCCTATGTGTCACTCAATGAAGATCTTAAGAGAAAAATCACCAATCAAAACATTCAAATAATTTTATATTTCATGTCATAAATCTCTACATATTTACATTAATTTTTTAACATGATCACACAAATGCA